TGGCACTTATTATTATGGAATGTGCCTCCCTTTTTATCTTTGCTAATATTTCTTATTCTGAAGTCTGATGTTAATATAGTCACCCCATCTTTCTTTTTCATTAGTATTATAATGGTTTATCCCTTTCCATCCTTTTACTTTTAATCTATTGTGTCTTTTTATTTAAAGTATGTCTTGGGTTTTTCTATATTGAACCTTACAATCTCTATCTTTTAATTAGCTTTCTTAGGTCATTTATATGTAATCTAGTTATCAATATGATCAGGTTCAAAAGAAAGAAGAAAGGGAGGAAGAAGTGGGAAAAAGGAAAGGACCCCAGAATGGGAATTGGGAAACCAGGGTGAAGTCCAGACTCTACTTCCTGGCTCTATAACATTAGGTAAATCTCATAACTCCTCTGAGCCTTAGCTAGCTCATACATGTTTTTAAGGATGAATGAGTTATTTATAAACTACAACATGCTCTGAAATCTTAAGGGATTAAAGAACTGTCCAGTGCCAAATGTATAGATAGAGAGGTATATCTAAACTAGGGTATGAGCGCTTCAAAGAGAGAACTAGATCTCACTCATTTCTTTATTTCTAGCACATAGGCCCAGGCTTGGCATGTTACCAGTAGGTGTTCATTGGGTGAAAGAGGCAATAAAAGAACTAACTTTGAATATATGAATGAAAAGTGGGTGTCAGGTGACAAGTTATTAAGTGGCCATGACCCTGCTAAGAACTGAACTTAAAATATTTAATTCTTAAAAAAAAATTTTAATTCTTTATCTGTTAAATGGGAATACTTTTAGGTAGCATGGAAGAACAATTTGCAAGTAAACGTTTTTGTTCTTACAGATGCATTCATTCAATAAGCATTTTATTAAGTGCCTACAGAGTGCCAAGCTTGGTTCTAGGTCCTGGGCATACAACAACATCCATTTTAGACATTTATTTTTAACTTTATTATTTATTATTAAATATTTTATTTATTTATTTGACAGAGGGGGAGAGAGAGAGAGAGAGAGAGAGCGCCAAGCAGGGAGAGTGGCAAGCAGAGGTAGAGGGAGAGATAGAAGCAGGCCTCCCACTGAGCAGGAAGCCTGACGAGGGGCTTAATCCCAGGACCCTGGGATCATAACCTGAGCCGAAGGTAGATGCTTAATCAACTGAGCCACCCAGGTATTCCTAGACATTTTTTTAAAGATTTTTTTTTTATTTATTCATGATAGACATAGAGAGAGAGGCAGAGACACAGGCAGAGGGAGAAGCAGGCTCCAGGCCGGGAGCCTGACGCAGGACTCAATCCCGGGACTCCAGGATCACACCCTGGGCCGAAGGCAGGTGCTATACCGCTGAGCCACTCAGGGATTCCCTAGACATTTGTTTTTAAAAGCCATCTTGCAGGGCACCTGATACCAAGTGCTGACAGAGCCTTGACCCCTGGTGCAAATGCAAACATATCAACATCAGTTATTAATGGGCTCTAATTTTTTTAAAAAACTTCTCTTTGGGGATCCCTGGGTGGCGCAGCAGTTTGGCGCCTGCCTTTGGCCCATGGCGCAATCCTGGAGACCCGGGATCGAATCCCACGTCGGGCTCCCGGTGCATGGAGCCTGCTTCTCCCTCTGCCTGTGTCTCTGCCTCTCTCTCTCTGTGTGACTATCATAAATAAATAAAAATTAAAAAAAAAACTTCTCTTTGGACAAAGAAAAAAGCCTAGTTGCTTTTTCCTATTTTTAGCCAATAATATTTAGTTTGGTAGCAGAATATTTAATGACTTAAATAAAAAGCAATAGGTCAACTTAATATATATTAGGTAATGATAATAAGCTAGATAACCAAGCAGATAGTTGAAGGAGATTAGAAGGAGCCATTCTTCTAATCAAACTGATGATGTCACTGGAGAAAAGGTCAGTTGGAACCTGATGTCTGGCAGTTACAGGCAGAGGGTACTCAGTTACTGCCCTGGGGCCCTTAACTGCAAAGCAGCCAGCATCACATGTCCAGGCCAGGGTACCAGAGACACAGGGACATCTTTGCAATTGACAGGGTGATCCAAAAATGGAGAAAGACAGGCCTCCACAGTTGATGACCCCTGCATCAGTGAAAGCCATCATCTCAAGGATTGAGGCTGCCCAACTAACACGAGCTCAGGAGGTAACACCTGAAATGAAAAAGTCACCCTTCTACTGGGATCTGAAATGGAGACTGGGAACTAATCCCAGATTGGGGCAAGATTCCAACTCTGAGCCTTCAAGGGTCCTCAGGATCCTCAGCAAGCTGGGTTTGCAGACAGATTAATCCAAAATACCCATCTCCTAGATTGGCCTTTGTAGGGTGAGCTGGAATCAAACCACCCACATGAGGCAGGGCACAGGAAGGGAACAGCACAATAAGGAAGCCCCAGGATGCCTCTGAGACACACAGTGGTAGGTCTTAGCAGAGCAAGAGGAGGAGCCCAGAGTTCCTGATTCAGGTCTATTCTTGGCAGCCTGTCAAGACTCCTTCAAGCTAAGCCCTAGAAACTTACAGGGAAATGGCTAAAGGCTGAAATCACCCTGCACATGAACCTTTAGTCCTTTTTTTTTTTTTTTTTTTTTTTTTTAATGGGAGCCTCTGATCCTAAGGGTTTCTTAGGCCCTCATTTTTCCAGTCTGTTGTCTCTGGATCCTTGGGAGGAGAGATGTCCAGAAGTCCCTAGAAAATTTTGAAATTCTGAAGAAATGTATGCTCTGAATTTTTAGTATCCTCTCCCTTCCTGACCTGTTTTAATAATCAAACTGACATTAAGAAGAGCTAACCATCATGATCCCCAATTTACAAGTCAGAACACTGAGGCCCCGAAAGGTGAACTGATTTCTCTGAGATCACACTGCCAGGACATGGTATTCTGGCTCCAGAGTTCACACCCCTAAACACTACAATCTGATGCTTCCCATATAGGATATTTCTTCCCAGCTCTCAGACATCTTGGACAACGTCAACTGTGTCATCAACCGCTTCCAGGAAGAATTAGGATATGATTTAAGAGAAAAGGTAAAATCTGACCAGATAGAGCAAAAGGGCAAGAACAGATTCATCTTGCTGGAGAAAATTGCCTCCTTCTCAAAAGATGCTAAGACCAAAGAGAAGCACTTGTATGAAATTCTCCGCTGGCTGGGGGACTGGGGTGAGTTTGGACACTGGGTGTCTGAGAGTGGGCATCTCCCCTCCTGGACACTGGTCCCACACTTACTCCCATCTCCTCCTTGCCCCACCCCAGATCAGCTCTCCCTGGGAGGGGAATGTGGGGCAGCAGGTGTAGAGGGAGCAAAAGACACACTGCAGTGCCTCTCCACTGAGACATTCCCCCAATCTTGTCCCAGCAATCACATCTACTCCCCAGAGGGACAAACATATAATTGTCCAAAACAGTAGCTTATGAACATTAGCTGCATGTGTGATGAAGCCTAAGTCACAGATCCATTATGACATCTCATTTTTTTAGCAGAGTTGAAACTAAAGTCAAACTCATGCTAGCTATTTTATTTTTTTCCAGATTTATTAAGATGTAATTGACAAATAGCATGTGGAAGTTTAGAGTGTACAATACAGTGATTCAATAGACGTATATGTTGTGCAATGCTTGTCACAATAAGGTTAGTTGACACATCCATCATCTCACAAGTTACCCCCGTTTTTTTTTCCGGCGAGAACATTTAAGATCTACTCTCTTAGCATATCACAAGTATATAGTACTGCATTGTTAGTTTAGTCACCACACTGTACATTAGATCCCCAGAACGTTTTTATTTTATAACTGAAATTTTGTACCCTTTGGCCAACATCTCACCATTTCCCACCCTCAGCCCCTGATAACCAACATTCTAATGGCTGTTTCTGTGAGTTCAATTTTTTAGATTCCACATGTAAGTGAGATCATATGGTATTTGTCTTTCTCTGTCTGGTTTATTTCACTTGGCATAATACCCTCAGGGTCCACCCATGTTATGACAAATGACAGGACTTCCTTCTTTGTTTTGACTGAATAATATTTCATTGTATAGAGGGGACACCTAGCTGGCTCATTTGGAAGAGCATGTGACTCTTGACCTAGGCATCATGAGTTCAAGCTCCACTTGGGAGTAGAGATAAATAAATAAACTAAAAAAAAAAAAAAAAAAACTATTTTAGGGCAGCCCCGATGGCGCAGCGGTTTAGCGCCGCCTACAGCCCAGGGTGTGATCTTGAAGACCCAGGATGGAGTCCCACATTGGGCTCCCTGCATGGAGCCTGCTTCTCCCTCTGCCTGTGTCTCTGCCTCTCTCTCTCTGTGTGTGTTTGTCATGAATAAATAAAATCTTTTTTAAAAAATTAAATATTTCATTGTATATACCACATTTTCTTTAACCATTCATTCATCTACTGACACTTAGCTTGGTTGTATGTCTCATCTCTTGTGAACAATGCTTCAGTGAACATTGGCATACAGATATCTCTTGGAGGTAGTGACTCCATTCCCTTTTGATATATACCCAGAAGTGGGATTGTGGGCTCATATAGTGATTGTATTTTTAATTTTTAGAAAAATCTCCATACTGTTTTCCAAAATGGTTGTACCAATTTATATCCCCACCAGCAGTGCACAAGGGTCCCCTTTTCTCCACGTCCTGACCAACACTTGTTATCTCGTCTTTTTTCAAAATAGCCATTCTATCAGGTATGAGGAAATATCTCACTGTGGTTTTAATTTGTGCTTCCCTGACAATGAGTGATGTTGAACACCTTTTCATGTACCTGTTGGCTGTTTGTATGTCTTTTTTAGAAAAATGTCTATTCAAAAAAAAAAGTCTATTCAGATCCTTTATTTCTTTCATGTAGGTGTTTAATCATAGGGTTGAATGGAATAATAGATATAATCTGGCTCTATATCCTTGATATTACAAATGAGAAAATTAAAAATAACAAATGCATCCTTTTTTTTTTTTTAAGATTTTATTTATCTATTCATGAGAGACAGAGAGGCAGAGACACAGGCAGAGGGAGAAGCAGGCTCCCTCCAAGGAGCCCAGTGCGGGACTTGATCCCAGAACTCCAGAACCATTACCAGAGCCAAAGGCAGATGCTCAATCACTGAGTCACCCAGGCGTCCCAAGAAGCTTCTAGGAGTTTTAGGGTTTTAGGTCTTTAATCCCTATGTTCTTCTAGGAGTTTTAGGGTTTTAGGTCTTTAATCCATTTCAAGTTAATTTTTTGTGAATAGTGTAAGATGGGAGTTGAATTTCATTCTTTTACATATGAATGTACAGGTTTACCAACATCACTCATTGAAGAGCCATCCTTTACCCACTTTGTATTCTTAGCTCACTTGTCAAATATTAGTTGCCCATAAATGCATGGGTTTATTTCTGGGTCCTTGATTCTATTCCATTTGCCTTTATATCTATTTTTATGGCAATACCATATTGTTTTGATTACTATAACTTTGTAATATGGTTTGAAATCAGGTAGTATGATGCCTTCAGCTTTGTTCTTTTTCTCAAGATTGCTCTGGCTATTTGGGGCCTTTTGTGGTTCTATATGAATTTTAGGATTGTTTTTTCTGTTTCTGTGAAAAATACCATTGGGATTTTGATAGAGATTTCATTGAATCTATAGATGGCTCTGAGGTGGCAATATGAACATTTTAAATAGTATTGTCTTCCAATTCATGAACATGGAGTATCTTTCCATTTATATGTGTCTTCTTAAATTTCTTCCATCAACGGCTTACAGTTTCCAGTGTAGAGATCCTTCACCTCCCTGGTTAAATTTATTTCTAAGTATATTATTGTTTTTGATGCTGTTGTAAGTGGGATTATTTTCTTTCTTTTTCAGAGGGTTTATCGTTAGTATATAGAAATGCAACTGATTTGTAAAGAGAACTTTATTTTTCTTTATTTTTGAGAGAGAGAGTGTGCACACATGCATGCAATGGGGGAGAGGGTCAGAGAGAGGGAATCCCAAGCAGGCTCCACACCCAGTGTGCAGCCTGATGTGGGACTCAATCCCAATACCCTGAGATAATGATCTGAATCGAAATCAAGAGTCAAATGCTTAACTGATTGAGTCACCCAGGTGCCCTGAAATGCAGCTTATTTTTGTATGTTGATTTTGTATCCTGCAACTTTACTGAATTTATTAGTTCTAATAGGTTTTTTTGGTGGAATACGCCAGGTATTTCATAGAGGAACCCACAGGTGATATTCAAAGTACTTAATGACCCTTACTGCGTGGGCAATGGGGCAACAGCATTGAAGCCAGCTGTAAACAATTGGTGTAGCCACTTGAGTGTGGACCAACCATACTTCAGCCTTGGAGCCAGGTGCAATCCCCATTAAGATCAGAGTTATACCTTCACAAGACCTTACTCTGCTCTGAAGTTGGGCAGATGCTGCTGTTGGAATAAGATGGTATAAAGGAATGTGCCCCACTTCCTTCATACTGCCCTGCCCCCAAGGAGTTCTCAGTTCTGTGGTCCTTCACCTGCCCCCATAAACTAAGCAGGGTTGTTCACTCCAGTTAATTCAATTGTCCAGATACTGAATTAGGCAATGGGGATAGAGCAATAGCAAGGCAGACACATCCTTGGCCTTATAGCTAAACAACAATACTGTTTAATGTCTATTGCATATTTTCTTCACATCAGGCCTCATGTCAATCATTTCACACGTATTATCTCATTTAAATCCCTACCCAACCCTCTTAGAGGCACATATGCTGAGACTCGGAGAAATAAGTAACTTCCCTAACATCACACAGCTAGTCAGAGGTGAATCTAGTCCAACCTCAAAGCCCAACTCCTTGGGTCTCCCTAGAGGACAGATTGCACTCAGCCTGTACCTCCCACTCCTTCTCCAGGTGACAGTCTGACCTATGAGCTCAGGAACAGGAAGGGTAAGGAGGAAGAGGAAGCTCTGGATGAATGGATCAATGTGATGGAAAAGGTGTTACCTCTCTCCCTCATTGCCACCAAAGGAGGCATCGAGTCTCTCATTTCCCTTTGCTCTACTCTCATTGAAGGACAAAAGAAAAGGACACAAAGTAGGTTCCAAGAGCACCTGGGAGGAGTGCTGGGTGGGTGGATGCCATCTCAGAGGAAGAAGTCACAATCACATACTGGGGTCTATAGGGGTCTTTCTGACTCTCCTCCATACCAAAGCCTTATATGAGATGGAGAGGCAATAGTGAGAGGCTGGGATGTTGAACCCAGGCTGAGCACTGAGTAGTTCTGTGCTGTCCCTCTGGGCTGGAGGAAGGAATAATGTGGAGACAGATCCTTGCTGGTGCTTCCTGGAGCTGTAGCCTCATGGAAGTCCTGGGAATCAAGGGTAGAAGGCCAGGAAGGCTGGATGGAGTTTGTAGCTAGAACCCAAAGACTTTCCTTTCCAAGACTCAGCCAAAGGCCCTTCCAGAACCTTCTCAATTGTGGCTGCTCCAGAAATGTCTCAACCTTGAAATTTTACTCCTATCAGCACTGGTAGGGACCTGAGATTATGAACTCCTACATTTTGTAGATGAGAACATGAAAGCTCAGAGAAGAGAAAGGACCACAAAAAACAAGAAGCTATGGCAAAACCAGACCCCACACTTAGAGGTTGTCTGGCTTTTAATCTTACGCCAGAGCATGAGCTTCACCGTGTGATAGATTTGATTTTGAATCCTGTGTGCCAATTTCTGGCTTAGTGACTTTGAGCAAGTTATTTCATCTTTCTGAACTCACTCTCTTCATATACAAAACGAGGAGCCCACTGCCCATTTGCAGGGTTCCACTGGGTATGAGGCACCTGGCACCAAGCTTAAAACATGCTCAGGACTTAATAAACAGTAGGTCACATTAGTGTTTTGCCATTGATTCTCATGGCCAGGTTCCTTATCAAGCAAGATGGATAGTTGGGGGAGGGAGGAGACAGTCTCTCCTACAATCCTTTCCACATTATGTCTTGAAATATAGTTATTTGTATACTCATTTCCCTACTAGATTATAAACTCCTGAAGGGCAAAAGCTATGTCTTATTTGTTCCTTCCTAGGGATCAGTTATTGAGCACTTACTAGGTACCTGGTACTGTGCTTGCCACTAGACATGCATGATCTAGCGAAGTCCTCTGAGTAGATGCTGTGGTTATCCCCATTTTTCAGAAACAGAGGCACCAAGATGGAAACTTGCCTAAAGCAAGTTGTAAGGATGGGATTCAAACCCAAGTTATCTGATTCCAGAATTCAAGCTCTGAACCACTAGGCCATATGGTCTCTCTGACAACATTAGCTAAATCCTAGCTTGACTTCAATGCCATTTAATTTCCATATACCCTTTAGCCTCTCATCCAAAGTTAGCCAGTGTTTTTTTTCTGTCAGTGATGTTTGTTGAATAGGCAAATGAATGGATGCTCCAAAATAATCAGCAGCCCTACATATGGTAGATCAAGGGGGTACCCCTATGATCATGACCCAGCCCTGAGTAGCTGAGGTTTATAAACAGGTTTGAACAGAGCACACAGTCTTTACGTGCATTTTCCTGGGGAGAAGGTCCCCTGCTTTCATTAAAGTATCAAAGGAGTTCATGACCCCTCAGTTGGGAAAAAAAAAAATTAGTCATTAAAAAAAACCCAACACAGGAACAGTTGCAGAACCCTGTGATAAATTCTCTCTGGTAACAGGCAAGGGAAACAGCTTCTCAGGTGGTCTGGAATCTAAGTGCCGAATAGGCTTCCAGAGTTTGAGTAGTTGGCCAAAAAGAGCCAAACATGGATACTGAGGCTGGGAAGTAGCATGATTTAGAAAAGTTACTTTACTCTAGAGAAATGTATAGGATCAGAAGTCCATTGAGTTGAATTGAACTGACTTGAATGGTTTCAGGCCCCATGGGCCCTGCGGGTGCTTCGGGGCTGAAGACCCTGGCAGGTAAGCTCTGGGAAAGCTCTGAACCTGGCAGAGACCTCTCCTGACAGCATCTCCCCCAGCCTCACGTATTGCCTCAGCTCCTTATTCTTGCCAAAGGCCTAAGAGGGTTGAATGGGGAATTTGGCCACGCAGGGTGTGAAGTATCAGTATAATCCCTGGTACCCATGGGAGTTTGCTGCCTCTGTTCTCTCCTAGTATCCAAACACACCTTCTGGCAGAACTGGTGGGAACAAAGCCCCCCCAAATCTACATCCTACCCTCAGCCACTGAGCCCAGAGCAGATGCTCCAGGACAAGCACACTACCTGCATGAAGGTCTCTGAGGTGAAGTCCATGCTGCAGGAGCTCCTGGACTCCACCATGTTCAACCAGGGGGAGGTCAGAGCCATCAGGTACATGTCTGCCATGGTGGAGAACCTCAACAAGGCCTTGATCCTCCAGCACAAGGAGCACAGTAACCTAGAGACCAAATATAGGAACCTGAAAATAGAGATGACCCAGGAACTGAGCAGCCAACGGCTCTATTTCCAGAATTCCCTCCAAGTTCTCCAGACCAAGAGGGATGCCCTACTAAAGCAGGTAGAGATTCTAGGGGGGAAATACCATGACCTTCTCCTGATCAAGCACTCCTTAGAGTTCCAGCTGAAGAAGGCACAGTCTGCTAGAAACCAGGCAGAAGAAGTGGCCACAATCTTGGTTGACTCCCGGGGGCCCCCTGAGAAAGAGACCCTCTCAAAGAAAGAAACCATCACGGAGGAGACCCAACAGGAACACAAGAAGGAGGAGTTGCTTTTGTCCCTGCCCCCAGGTTCCATGGCCACAGCCTGGGACAGTGATCCTAGGCCTTCAGCGTCTCAGCCACTTTCCATCATGACCATGCAGTCTAGGATTGCAGATGTGTACAGCAGCAAGGACACTGAGCATCTCCAGTCCATGTTGCCATCCTCCGTGGATCACAGGTTTCCTAAGAAATGGGAAAGACCTGTGGCAGAGAGCCCAGGCCACCAAGTCAAAGACCAGACAGACTTCCAGAAAGCATCCCAGGAGAAGGAAGGCCTCCAAATGAAGGCTCATTCAAGGGTGCAGCTGTCCCCAGAGAGTTCTGAGAAGGTGGGCTTGGAGAGCAAGGTGGAGCACAGGGAAGAGGAACTCAGCTGGGAGAGGCAGAGGCAGCAGTGGCTGGAGGAGCAGGAGATGTGGCTACAGCGGCAGAAGAAATGGGCCCTGCTAGAGCAGGAGCACCAGGAGAAGCTGCATCAGTGGGAGGTGGAAGAGGCACTGAGAGAGCAGCAGCAGAGGTTGGGCCAGCAGGAGAAAGAGCAAGGGGGCCCACGGAGAGAGACGGGGCAGCCAGGGGAGCACGTGGACAGGGTGCTCTTCATGACCACCAGGCGCTGGAGGGACTTGGAGAAGGCATCCCTGGCGCCTCCCCCAAGCCGGACCCAGTCTGCTCACCCAGGCGGGAGGCCACACTTGTCCCCCAGCGCCCAGCAGCCGGCCCCCAGAAACCAGAGGAACCTGAGTTCCGCCAAGTCTGCCCAGAAACCACGGGCCTGCCAGGTTCCTACCAAACCCAAGAAATTAGCCTCCTTCCCTGTCTCGGGGACATCCATCCAAAAGGTGTCCCGGCCTCCTTTGCACGTATCCCCAGTAACTCTTAAGGGGAAAGTATACCGCATGGACGTGGAGGCCCAGAGGAAGAACCTGCAGCTCCTGAGTGAGGAGGCTGAGCTGGGGCTGCCCCACTACCTGCGCAGCAAGGCACTGGAGCTCACCACCACCACCATGGAGCTGAGCATGCTCCGGCTGCAGTGCCTGTGCCATAGGTACATCCTCTACAGGCGCTTCCAGAAGCTCCGGTAGGTACTCCTGGCATGTGCACCCACTGCAAGTGTGTGGGCAGAGCCAAAACCCAAATGGAGGGGAGAAGTATAGGGCAAATGGGGATGGAGAAGATACCCCAGATGAGGACAAGGTCTCCTGAGGGAGGGGACTGGCAAAGAGCGTCTGACCCTGGGGCCTTGGGCAACCCTGAAGGTGTGGGAGGTCAGGCGCTTACATACACACTCTGCTCTTCCCGCAGTGGGCTTTACCTCCGAGCCCCCTTCCTTACTTCTTCCTATCGCCCCATCCATAAGGCACCTAATGCACTCCCCTGCTTGCCTTACCCTCTCTTCCTGTTTCCAGCCAGGCCCCAAGGCTCCTCATCAGCCACCACCTTGCACTTCTCTACCTCCTACTTTCCTCAGCTCTCACCAACCTCAGTTTCTCTCCTTGCTATCAGGCATTACAAACATAGGGTCCTACCTGGTTAATGGATTTGAGGGAGCAGGAGGCCCTTTCACCCACGTAAATCACTTCCTTCATTTCCCAGACAGGAAGTGATCAACCACATACAAGTCATCCGAGAAACAGGGACTACCTACAAGGCCCAGAACCTCTATGTCTTCCTCGAAAACATCGACAATCTGCAGAACTTCTGGCTGCAGGCCTGGACAGACAAGCAGAAGGACGTGGAGGAGAAGCGCCGAGAGTGCCTGAGCAGCATGGTGACCATGTTCCCCAAGGTGGGCCTCTCCTGTCAGGGGTCAGCGTGACCAGCAGGGAGGGGGCCAGGAAGTGAGCCCGTGGGGCTGTGGGGTGTAAAGGAGGCAGCAGAAGGGAACCGAGAGGCCAGGTGAAAGCCTCTGAGCCAGGAGGAGGCAAGGCTGGAGGTGCCTGAGTGGGGAGCTTTCCAATTTCCATGTATGGGGAGAGAGAGAGGGAGAGAGAGACCCTCAAAAAAAGCTGTACAAGAAAGACTCTTCTGGAGAGGGGAGGCAGCTGGACCCTGCAGTCCCAGCTTCATGCTCAAGATCTCCCTCCTGCATGGGTCCCTCTGTCCTGCCCCTGTGGGTTCTGGCTGCTTTCCCTGCTTGGTCACAGCTGTCCTTTTCACCCACACACTGGGTTCTCACTTTGCTTCTCTCTGGGGGTGGCTCCCTTGCTTTCCAGATGCCAGATCTCCTCCGGACACTTCTGGTCCCAGGTTCCTGACAGATAAAATCACTGAGACCCAGGTAGTCTGAAAATGTCTTTACTTCCTACCCTCACTCTGAACCGACAGTTTGCCTGGATACAGAAGTCTAGGTTAGAATTCATTTTCCATCTCAATTTTGACAGCTCTGCTCAATGCTTTCTAGGTTTTGGTGTTGCCATTGACAATATAAAGTCACTCTGAGGCCTGATCCATGGGTTTGGCCTGTTTTTATTCTCTGAGGGTCAGCTTCAGGTTCCCCTGCTAACAGGGGTCAGAGAAGCAGCAAATACCGACATGGTCCACAGACAGGGGGCTAGCTGGCAGTTCGGGGGGTGGGGGAGGGTGGGGATTGGAAAATCACAGCATTGGCTAAGACTCCCCAGGGAATCCCCCTAGGATTGGGCCAGGAGGGCAACCCACCCCACCCCAAGTCTGGGGGAAGCTGTGCACTGAGGCACGCGGTGTAGGTGCTGACGTTGGGCAGTTGGAGGAGCCTTGGCCTTGAGGCCATCCCCCAAAGTCCGTTTCCTATCACTTTCTCTTAGTTCTGGTCATCTCCCGTAGGTATCTTGACTTGCTAAGTTCGTTTTGAGATTGAGAGGGAAAGGGACTATATGAAGTTCTCTGGGTAACTAGGAGGGTTCCCTCAGCCCCTTACACAGAGCCAGGGCAGGAGCTGGATAAAAAGATGCCCAGATCATTCTAGGCACAACCTGGCCTCATGACATGAACGCTGAGTGCCCTCTCGAATTCCAGCTGCTTTGGCTTCCTTTTGTTTTTTCCTTACTGTTTTGCTCATTGTCCAGCTTCTCTAAAACAAAGGAGAAAACAGGAACTAATGTACCAAGTAATAATTCAAGGAATTTTTAGGAAATTTGACTTGGGGACCCCAGGAGTCTCTGATGGGAGGGATTCCCTGGGGCTTACCTTCTCTTCTCAGCCCTGAGTCAGGAACATGCTCTAGAGGGGGGATAAATTCCTGTCTCCCTGATGCCTCTCTGCTGGTTCCTCTAGCTCCAGCTGGAGTGGAATGTTCATCTGCACACTCCTGTGGTCACCAACCCAAAGTCAAGGAAAAGCAAACCACCCCCGTCCTACCTCCAGCACACCCACTCCTGTAACCCCTCCTGCAAGCAGTCCCCAGAGCACTTCCCATCCAAGCACTGGGAATGTGTGCCCCTGCGCATGGCCCGGTAGGTGCAGGGAAGCTGGTGGGCGACCCACTGGATGGGTGGGGAGAGACGGAACAGGCTGGGGTGGTCAGACTGGGGAGATTGGCAGCTTGGTGAAAGCACAGACAGGCAAAGCTCACCTCACGAGTTGCAAGAGGTCTGTCTTCTCAGCCGCCCTGCTCAGCTCTGGCCATTGGCCCAGATGAGGGTGTGTGTATGTATGTGTGAGATGACGTGGGCTTCAGAAGCCAGCCCAGCCAAGCAGGTGTCAAACTGCAACTGAAAGACTCTGAGGACCCACAGCTGAGAGCTTACAACCATTTCTGCCCTGTGCATTGTTGGTCTAGCACCTGTTATTGGTCTGCCCATATAAACAAGCCTGATCCTTCCCACCATGTGACCCCCAGGCTCAGAAAGAGATACCATGAACCTCTGGGCAGTCAAGAAGACCCCCAACCTCACCAAGTATGGCCCTGTGCAGGGCAGCCCAGGAGCATGTGCCTAGAAGAAGAGAGGCTATCCCAGCACCCTTCCAGCAGCTCCTCAGCCAGAGGAGCTCCAGGGAGGTGAGGCTTAGAGATAAGGGGAAGATAGATGACAGGATGGTGGTGACAACTATTCAAGAGGGAAAGAAAACAAGATCTGAGGTCTTGGGCCTTATGGCCTTGGAGAGCTGGTTACTTCACAGTCTCCCTCCCTCTGTGTATCTAACACTCTGTCTCTTTCTACATTTTCAATCTCCATGCCCCAGCCATCAGGAGAACCAGATGGAGGCCGTCTGGAAGACTGATGTGGCCTCCTCCAGTCACCCGATAGAAAAGAAGACTCCCCCCAGCCTGCTCTGGGACCAGCTAGGAGGGTACCCAGATATTCCCCGGCTGTTGGCCTTGGATGTGCATTCATCCTTCCAAAAAAGCTTAAGGTCCCTCAAGGGGTAAGGAGCAAGCCTGGATGGTTAATCTGGATTCGGGGAGACCTTCCCACTGAGGGCAGAGGCCAGTATACATACTATCACTGTCCAGCTGCCCAAGACATCTCTTTTCAAACATTCATAACAACCTCACTTATTGTAGCACCTCAGCCAGGGAGATGCTGACCTGCCTCATCAGCCACCCGCTTGAGTCCCCATGCCACCATTCCAGTCCTCTCAGAGGACTTTGCGTAGTGTGTCAGAAGATTGCTGTGCAGGTGTTCACTTCCCACTGTTGCCTGAGCTGCACATGAGTTGGCTCAGGAGGTAAATTCTGCCCAAGGCCTGGGGGTTGTTCTCATGGAGAGCCAGGTGCGGGAATGGAATGATGAAGGAAGCCAAGAATCTCGTGATGAGCTTGAGACTCGGGCCTGGCCCTGGCTTTGGCATTCTCATTTCCTTCCTGCCTTCGAGAATTGTTCCTGGGAAGAGCAGCTCAGGGGAAGAGGCAGGACTCAGTGGGCCAACAAGAGGCTTTTCTAATTAGGAAGGTTCAATTCTCCTTTGCCCCTCCGGACTTGGAGACGTCACCGTTGAAGTTCAAGTGTCTTTGAAGGAGCCTTTTTAGATTTTTAGAATCAATCCCAGCTGTCTCTGCAACACAGGCTCTGCCCCAAATACAGATCTTTGACAGATAGAGGGCACTAATGCCTGCCAGTCTAGATCTAACCAGAAGCAAGGCTGTAAGATGCTGCTGCTGCTCTGTCCTCCAGACAGGGATTTAGGGAAGACAGGGTGACATGGTAATGTCAAAGAAGGCTGGTCCTTGGCTCTGCTTCTGCTCTGAAGTGGGCCTGAGGGTCCCAGCTAGTACACAGATACCTGGTTTCCAGTTCCTGGAGAAATCCTGAGAGGTAGGTGTTTGTCTGTGTACCTGTATATGTGTATGTTGTTAGTTGAGTTGGATAAAGCAATTAATTGAGAGTCACCAAAACAATACTGTGGCAGAACTCGGGAACCCAGGGGTCAACAGGGCCCTGCCCCACTAAGATTTGGCTAAACTTGCCAGAGCCCCACCCCCCCCAACAGTCTCTTCTCCCCAAGCTCCTCCTCTGCCTCCCTGCCAGGGCCTGGGCTTTGCCTGGCACCTGCTTTAATCTGAGGCCCCAACCCCTATGTTCTCCCACATGCATAAATACGTATATATAAATATCAAGAATACGTACTCCACTTAGGCCCTGAGCATTTCATGATGGTACCTTTTTGAAGATTTAGTGGGGGCTGTTGGGGAAAGGGAATCACAGTGAACAGCACCAAACAGCCTCCTTTCTTCCCCTCTCTCTGGCATAACATGCAAAACTCAAAGACTCCTTCCTATCTCATGCAGAGCTGTTCCACCCACACGCAGGCCTCCACTGGGATCTCAGCTTCAGGCTTAAGCACTTATCAAAATATTGTTCCCGGCAAAGACAGCTTCTCCTTTCCAGGGGAATTTAGGTGAATACAATTTTCTTCCCCCTTTTAAAACTCCATGCAAGGGGATCCCTGGGTGGCGCAGCGGTTTGGCGCCTGCCTTTGGCCCAGGGCGCGATCCTGGAGACCCGGGATCGAATCCCACATCGGGCTCCCGGTGCATGGAGCCTGCTTCTCCCTCTGCCTATGTCTCTGTGCCTCTCTCTCTCTCTCTCTCTCTGTGACTATCATAAATAAATAAAAATTAAAAAAAAAAAGAAAATTCTCTTAAAAAAATAAAACTCCATGCAAGTTTATTCAGTGTATCCTACTATCAGGTATAGAGGCAAGGCCCTGTTTCTTCTTTCTTCTTGATCTGCATCCCAGGTTGGCACCACCTACCTGCATGTCAGTCTGGTCCTGGATGGTTCAGTGAGGGGGCTCCCGGTGTTGTCTTGGGACCCCATTAGTTGTGGCATGGGATCTGCTACTCTCATGAACGTTCTCTGCTGCTCAAGCTACTGCTGCCTGGGGTGGGGGTGGGGTAGCCATGCTGCTTTCTTTGTGAGGGCTCCTTGCATAGACACATTCTGCTTCCACTCCTAGAGTGTGCTTTCTCTTTGGTTGCCTGTCCCTGGCTCACCAAGAATACTCACATCCAGCAGCTGTGTGGTCTCAGGTCACTCACTTCTTTGCAATTCTATCAGCTCCCCTGACCCAGGTCACAGCACCATCTAGTTTCATAACTAGGACCAATTGCACACCACCTGCCCCATGCTCCTGCCTGAAATGGACAGCTTGGCTTTATCTACAGCCCCTGGGATGTCCTCTCAGAATGTGAGGAAAGGCTATTCATCTTCCCTCTATGGTTTGGGAACTAGAAAGGTCGTGTCCCTCAAAAATCAGTAGACCTCCTCCTCCAAGAGCTTTCTCTGTTTTGTCTTATAAACATCTCCCCTGGGCTCTCCGTCTGACAGGTAAGATAGCTGTGTGCCTGCACATACCAAATATGGCCTGCAGCTGGAGAAGAATTTTAACCCCGACTACGCGCCCTGCCCTCCATTGCTCAGGGCCTATTCCTGCACAGCTAAAGTACACAGTGTTTCACATGCGTGGTCGAGATGCAGCGAGCACAGACCTCCAACCTGCTGCAGACAGAGGAGAGGGCTTATAACTTGGTTTCTGAGAAGGAGAGTAGATGGGAGTGGAGAGGAAGGAACACGGATGGAGAGGAAGGAACACGGATGGATAGGAAGGAGCAGGGAAGAGTGAGGGGCGGGAAGAGGAAGTATTCTGTGATGTGAGACAAAAGGCAGATCACAAGAAGAGAAGCAGAGCCCGTGGGATGGGGCAGAAATGTTATGTTAAGCGGTTCCGAGTCCGGATCAAGTCTGGGCACAGCTCTGGACTGCCTCCCAGAGGTGACTAGGGAAGCTCTTGGGTGGGCTGGGTGGGCATTGTCTCAGCTGCTCTCCAATCCATGATTGACTTAACTCTTTCAGTGTCTTGACGGCTGAAGGAAAGGAACACCAGGAAGCCCCAGATGAGTCAGCCAAGCTTGTCTGTAAAAAGTCAAATGAGTCCTTTCCTGGAGCCCTAAAAAGCCAGAAGGATCGAGACAATCTCAGTCCCCACTCCCTCCCTTAGTGATTCTCAAACTTCAGGGTGACTAAAAATCACATGGGAACTTGTTTCAAATGCAGGTTTCCAGCTGGTGTTTTTAAACATCCTGGGTATTGCTAAGTAGCCCTAGAACTTTGAGAAACACTCCTTTCCCCCTTCAGTCCCCAAAATGTACGTTTTTAATAAAATAGAGATGTGTTTATTTTTAAAGATTTCTGTGTTGTTTCTGAAACCCACATCTCCCGAACTCATTTTTGGAACCAGGTCCATGACCACCTGGCCCCAGAGCTGGACGCCCATCAGGAGGGATCCCCCCAGTGGGGTCTCTACCTTTTGGAAGCCAATAAGCTGAGATGGCCACAATTAGTGCCTGGCACACAGTAGGCACCAGTCCCTTTTAATCAGAGACATGGACAGATAAGTAACTGGTGTGCTGAAGATTAGCCTGAAAGCTCAGAAGGTAAGAACAAAAGGAGATACCAAGTACCAGTCAAGGCCAAGTGTCACTGGGTGGGAGGCAGAGGCGTGTATGTCTCAGGAGTGAGAACACAGGTGGAAGAAATGGAGACACAGAGGTTCCAAATCTAGATGGTGTGGGCTAAGGAGGCCGTCTCTGGCAATTGTCTTCAATCCAGTCACAACACAACTTTCGAGAATTTATTCAGCTTATGAGCACTGCCACTCACCCCAACCTCCCTGGCACTCAGCCATCTGCCTCATCTCGCACTTGGCCTTCACCCTCCTCCTTTTTTCCACTGGCCCAAGCACACCTGGCCTAGGGACATTGGTCAGGAAATGACGCTGTCCTCAGAGAACCCGCAATCCAGTGATTCTATTGATCAGGAATGGTGCCCATCCTGGCTTCCACTCAAGGTCAAGACTCTGGAAGGAAGAGGAGGACATGGGATGTGAACAGCTGGCCTTTGGATGATGTCAGAGTAGAAAATGACTTTTGAGCTATGGTTTAACATGTGGCAAGGATGCCTGGTCCAGGAGGAAGTTGAGACAATCCTGATGCAGGTCTTACACAGGACAGCCGTGGTAACCACACCACTCCTGGCCTTTCAGATCCCAGGCTTATCCTTCCTTTGGAGGCTTCATCCCAATCATATCCCATATAATAAAATGCCCTCACACTAAATGTACTGCTTTAAGTCATTTGAAAGGATTTATATAACTTTTCTTTTTTATTTATTTATTTATTTATTTATTTGTTTGTTTGTTTATTTATTTATTTATGATAGGCACACAGTGAGAGAGAGAGAGGCAGAGACACAGGCAGAGGGAGAAACAGGCTCCATGCACCGGGAGCCCGACGTGGGATTCGATCCCGGGTCTCCAGGATCGCGCCCTGGGCCAAAGGCAGGCGCCAAACCGCTGCGCCACCCAGGGATCCCTATATAACTTTTCTTTGGAAAATCAGCTATGAGCTTTTTTAACATGTTGTTGGCTGTGACTTCTCAACAATCTTCATGCATAGAGATGAAATATAACAAGTTTTGTAAATGTAATGAGAATATTTTAATACTAAATTTGACGGTATAATGAATGTTTTGTAAACAATTGCATATTAAGATTTTTACATTTTTTTGTATTTTGATGCCAATGACATTTTATTTTATTTATTTTTTTAAAGATTTTATTTATTTATTCATGACAGACAGACTGAGAGAGAGAGAGAGAGGCCGAGACGCCAGCAGAGAGAGAAGCAGGCTCCATGCAGGGAGCCTGACACGGGACTCAATCCCGTCTCTAGGATCACATCCTGGGCTGAAGGTGGCGCTAAACCGCTGAGCCACCCAGGCTGCCCCGCCAATGACATTTTAAAGGTTTTGTACATTTTTGTAGGCTCTTGGCACTGTGCTAGAGGTGCCTAGTGGCTCCACCTGCTCTGGTGATGGAGGACTTTGACTTTCTGGACATACTCTAGCAAGGTCTCTGGCAAACAAGCAGAGTGTCTGACAGATTCTTGTTGACAGTTTCATCTCCTGGAAGGCAAAGAAGTCCTAGATTGTCCAACCTGTGAAGCCTAGAGGTTTAGACACCAAGGAGATATATCTCTATCCATGTCTCTCTAGTATGTTATGTGATATATATGATGTTTATCTAGTTATGAGGTTTTTTTATATTATACATGAGCCTCATTTTTTTTTCAGAGCAAAGTTGATGTACTTGGCCAAATAAGATATCACCTCCACCCCAAAAAAGCCTCCAGGAAGCCCATGACATGGGAAGGAATACTTGGTGTATTTTTTTGAGCCAGATTTGGGAGTCGGCCATAACTCTGTTTGCATGGCCCATGGCCTTGGAGGCCTCCAAGATGATGAACCAACAGTAATGTGAAGAAGGGAGGAAACATGAGGAAAGGGTCTACTTGAAGCCCTAAGCATGACCTGCAAGGAGGCATTGGTAAAATGGAAAGGACAAAAACCCTTTGAAGACAACCCGGCCAAAGAGCCAGGGAGAGGAAAGCCATGCCAGGTCTTGTTTTCCATGTACTGGGAAGGCCAACTGGAAAGTCAGAAAAAGGATGAGCATGGCTCCATGATTGGAGGAGTTATCTTCCAAAAAAAATTTTTTTAACTAAAATAAATTTCAAAAGAGCATAGCTAACATATAGCTGTCAATCGGGGACTTTGAAATAGCTATGTTTGCTACAAATAGTCTAGTGGCAAAGGTCAACAACACACATAACAAATGGGGAATTTGGGCAAAGAATAGAAAATTATAAAAGAGAAATGGAAAAATGGAAATGCTGGAAGTGAAAACGTTAATATCAGAGATGAATTCCTTCCACAGGTTTATCAAACTGGACAAAAGCTGACGGGAAAAAAAATATCTGTGAACCTGGAGCTAGATCAACAAAAATGAACCAAATTGTATCACAAAAAGTAAAAGCAGACAGAGCAGACAGTTGAGCAAACCCAAAACTAAGTACCAAGACATATGGGACAATGACAAATGGTCTAACACATATGTAATGCGAGTCTCAGAAGAAGAGGGGAGACAGAATGGGGCAGAAGAAATACTTGAAGAGATGATCACTCAGAATCTCCCAAATAACAAAAGACAACAAGCCACAGATCCAAGAAGCTCAGAGATCCCCAAACAGGATAAACAGGAAGAAAAACGTAGCTAGGCACATCATAGTCAAACTGTTGAAACCTGAGAACATCTTGACAGGAGCCAGAAAGACGCAGCGCCTGGGTAGCTCAATCAGGTAAGCGTCTGACTCCGGATTTCGACTCAGGTCATGGTCTCAGGGAGGTGAGAGCCAGTCCCTTGTCCAGCTCCATGCTCAGTGGGGAGTCTGCTTGGATTCTCTCCCTCTGTCCCCCCACCACTTGTGTACTCTCTCAAAGAAGAAAGAAAGAAAAAGAGAGAAAGGGGATCCCTGGTGACTCAGCGGTTTAGCGCGGCCTTTGGCCCAGGATGTGATCCTGGAGTCCCAGGGCCGAGTCCTACGAGTCCTACGTCGGGCTCCCTGCAAGGAGCCTGCTTCTCCCTCTGCCTGTGTCTCTGCCTCTCTCTCCCTGTCTCTCATGAATAAATAAATAAAATCTTTAAAAAAAAGAAAAGAAAGGCCAGAAAGAAAAACAAATTACATAGGAAAACAAGAAACAGTCGTATTAGAAACTCAGCCAGATGGTTCCTGAGGCCCGGCTGTACCCTTGCCTGAGAGGACCACGGGATAACCCAGGAGCGTTCCAGGACGTTTCCTCATTTGGAGACCAATAGCTTGGGCAGTTTTCTGTTACCTGCAAAACACAATGGGCTGCGGGTGAGCAGCACCCTGCAGGCCCCGGCTCTCTTCACAGCCTGCAGCCCCGCTCCCCACGCCACGCCACACCCAGGCCCCCTCTCCTCACGCCCCCCCCCCCCCCGCCTTGAGCTGGCTGTGGCTACCTCAGCGACCGTTTACCGCTGTGACCTGGAAGGAGGCAGAGTCCGTAGAGGCTAAACGTACTAGTCCACGGGCCTCAGTGCCCGTCAAGGTGGGCCCCGGGATCTGACTGTGGCTCGGAATCCTTTCCCCAAACACGACCCGCCTCCAACAACCAGCCCGAGTCCAGTTGGGACACCTGTCAGAGCTCTGCTGAGTGGATGGTCTTTGCCATTGGTGGCGACGTTTACGAGAGGCAGACAGTTGCCAGGGATCAGGAAGATTCAGGTGTCCGCCCCCAACCCCTGTTCAGAGTATCCCTGTGTTGGCTTCTGGGGTCTCGCCTTCCAGGAGAGACTTCCTTTACTAGAGGAGCCACAAGGAGGCGGCAAAGAGCTTGTTTCAGGGCCTCAGCGGGCCTGGAGTCCCAGGGGCTGGATTTAAAATCTGAGAACTTGAGCCCTGGGTGTTCTTCTATATGTTGGTAAATTGAACGCCGATAAAAAAATAAATTCATAAAAATAAATAAATAAATAAATAAATAAATAATAATAAATAAATAAACAAACAAATAAAATAAATCAAATAAAATAAAATCTGAGAACTGCCGGCAAAAGGGACACAAGTGAAGCTGGTGGGCTTGGCCTGAGGAGGTGCTCGGCTGAGTGTGGAGAGCGAGTCTGGCAAAGGTAGAGCAAAGAGACGAGGGATTCTCGACTCACCTCAGACATCTGGATCCTGCGGACAGTTCTGGTAGCCAGAGGCCTCTCCCTCCGTTGGGGCCCCCTGCGCCTCCCTTGCCCACCCGGGCCTGGTCCTCAGCTCTGCAGTTCAGGGAGCTCTCCTTGCAAATGACTCTTCAGGCAACTGTGTTTAGGAATACCAGGAGGCCCTTCCTGGACACTTCCTCAAACCTGCGTCACGTCAGGTGACGCATTCATTCATTCATTCATCCAACACATCGGGTACTTAACACTTAGCACGGCTCTAGGCATGGCACATAGTTTTGAAGAAAATCAATTTTTTTAAGTGTCTTCATGGAGTTTATATTCCATTGCGGGGAAACAGACAAGAAATTAAAAATACATAAAAAAAATACAATACACCACACGTTAGACGGTAAAAGATGCGGTGGAGAAACACAAATTTCAAGAGGGTAAGGTACCAGAACAAAGGGGTTACCATTGAAAATAGGTCACGTCAGGCCTCACTGAGGTGACGTTTGAGTAGTCTTGAGGAGGTGAGATGCGCCGTGGGGTGAGAAGAGCACACCAGGCAGGGGAGCAGTCGAGGTGGGAGCATGCCCGGCCAACTCAGGGGGCAGCAGGCCTCCAGTAGGGCTTGGGCCGGGGGAGTGAGTGGGGGAACAGAAGGAAGGATGAGGGAGAGGGGACCAGGGGACAGCTCAGTGCCTTGCAGGCCATGGTAAGGACTTCCTTTTCACTCTGAACGAGCGGGAGCCACGTTTATTTTGAATGAAATGGGAACCACTGCAGAATTTTGAGCAAATGAGTGACATGATCCGAGCCACACTTCAAGAGCATCGCTCTGGTACACCTGAAACTAATGTAACCTTGTGGGTCAACTATAATTAAAAAACAAACTGGGCAATGGGGTGGGGGAAAGCATCCCTCTGGCTGCAGTGATGAAAACAGCGATGAAGGCTGGGAGGGGGACGCAGAGAGACCAGTCAGAAGCTATTACCATTCCCATCCCGTTCAGGAAAGC